CTTCCCCAAAGCCCCAGTAGATAGTTATGTGTCATAGTTGCACATCCTTCTAGTTGCTGTATGTGGGACATGCCCTCAGCATGGCCGGAGAAGCGGTGCGTCGGTATGCGCCTGGGATCCGAACTGGGGCCGCCAGTAGCAGAGTGCGCGCACTTAACTGCTAAGCCACCAAGCCAGCCTGTTCCTTTGTTTTCTATGTCTATTTAGTAAATACAAAATCAAGTAGAATGCTGGTAAAACACCAGATAATCCCATTTTACTGCTTTTTGAAGAATAGGCCAATTGGGAATTTTGGTAGTATATCTCTTCTGGGTTGTACATAATTTATTTTATGAAGTTGAAAAAGTCTGTACCACATAAAAGGCACTATTTTTTTTTTAATTTTTATTTTTATTTATTTTATTTTTTTCCCCCAAAGCCCCAGTAGATAGTTGTGTGTCATAGCTGCACATCCTTCTAGTTGCTGTATGTGGGATGTGGCCTCAGCATGGCTGGACAAGCGGTGAGTCGGTATGCACCGGGGAACCGAACCCAGGCCACCAGCAGCAGAGCGCACGCACTTAACCGCTAAGCCACGGGGCCGGCCCAAAAAGGCACTATTAAATGGAACTAGGAACTGGAAGAGTGCTGATAGTTGTTTAAAAGGATAAAAGAATTAACATGTGAATACCAATTTTCAGATATGTTATAAATATTATAAATGCTTTTATAGCTAACAGAACATGTTGTTAATCATGTAATGGTAATGAACAGCTTTTAAAACAATGGGTCAGATATTTCATTAAGAACTCACTTCAGGAAGCCTGGGCATTCTAGGAAATAATTGACACTTAAGGTTATGTGACCAGCAGAGGGCAGAGATCAGTATAAGCACAATGTGTGTCATACAACAGGATGTGCTACCTACTCAGTAATCATGGAAAGTAAAGAAGCAGGCAGCGAGGAAATCACCTTATAATTCCAAATCAAAGCATCATATCAACAGAATTCTTAGAAGAAAGAAAGAAGAAAAGAGTGAATGGCTAGCTAACAAAAAAGTTGGATGATGCTAATGCAGATGAATGGTTGTCTTAACAACTCATAGTACATTTCTATTGTACCTAAAAAGGGAAGACTTGCCAATTTGTATTTTTAAGATTTAAAAGAAAAGACACTACCAGGAAAAAATCTGTTCCTCTTCAAATTTTTCCCTTCACAATGGCCACCTCCACCCTTAAGTTAGAAACCAAGCCAAGTAAGAACCAGGGATAAGAATGTAAATATATGCTGCCAAAACCTTGACTGTCATTAATGTTAAATTAGACATAACAATATATTCTATGTAAACTACTAAAGGATAAACATGCTGGTCAAGCCAAAAGGTTTGCTTCAAGGCTTTGCTCAATTTCCATCCTTTTAAACAACTTTCATGATATGTTTAAATGCTGTTCCAGAATGTTCAGTGTAGAACCAAATCCATGTTTCACGCTTACCGGGTATATTTCTTTCCTCAGAAATGTTTGGTGCTCCCAGACATTGGGATCTCATTTTATTACACATTTAAAAACTTTTCCTTCTACATTTATAAAGCTCTGAACCAAAGCTAAGAATGACCACTAATCTAACATGACTGAGATAACAGATCATCAAATTAAATGACTGACCGTAAGCTGCAGTTTTATTAGGATGTCCCAGTCAGGCAGTTTTTATAAATTAATTTTAAAATTAAGAAAAGATTAATAATTTAAAGAATAATAAATTTAAAAACAAATTTAGGTGAATATACACATAACTACACAGAATTTACAATATATCTGTAGAATTCTCTAGTCACCATTTTTGTGTATGTAATATTAATAAAAAGGATTTTTTTTAAAACCATACAGTGATTCTGGGATTCCCTGAATTTTCAGCTGCTGCATTTTCTACCCTACATCTGTCACGTTCTTCTTCCTTTCAGTTTGTGTATTTCCTGTATTATAAAAAGTAGAAACAGGACCTTAATTGAGGAAATAGTGCGTCTTTGGCTAAGGAAATAGAGCAACAGATAAGTACTTGTATTTTGCACCTGGGGGTTGTTTATAAGGTACAGGGAGACTATTTAGCAAGGTATTCTTTATTATCATCATGAAATAGAATTGAAGGTGGCTTTTGTATGGACTCTCTTCTCTCTTGCCTAACTCACTCATTAGCAGTAATTTAGAGTTTCTCTCTAGGTCATAGAGTCTATTCAATTCCTGTATATACTATTTCAGTATGCACTTAAGAAAGTTTAATATACAGCTGGGAAGTGCCTGGATCTGATTAGGTAATTCAAAAACAAGTCAATGGCAGAGCCAAGAATAGAACAAATAAGTTGCTATTCCCTATCTTATGTTTTTAAAAACATGTCATATGCTCTTGTGTTCTAAAATAACAAACTACCAACTCAAAATTTTCTTAATTCTGACATTAATTTATTAAAAGTGTTTGGACTAGCCTTATATGCAATTTCAGTCACTTGCCAGAACTGCATTTGAATGGGCAGTACGAATAAACTACAACCCTTATTGATGACCTCTTCTTATTTCTAATAACTACAACTGTTTCAAGGTCACTCTTTAAAACGTCCTCTTTTCAGGAGTTCTACACCATATGAGCAAGAAGGGATTTTCCCTTCCTATTTACTTATGTATTTTAAAAATGACTGAAGTGTCTTAAGAGATCCCTTCTAAAAATGTAATTTTAGTTCCGGGGACTTTGATAGAACAGTGAGATAAACACGTGTAGCACATTACTAGTCTGCCCAAACTCAGGAGTCCTAACTCACCCAATCATTCAAAAATGTGCAAACGGTGTGCTGTTCAACATGCTGTGACATCCGTAAATTACCCAAGTTTAAAAGTTTAAAGCCACCTTATTACTTTTTTTTCAATCAGGAAGATTGGTCCTGAGCTAAGACCTGTTGCCAACCTTCCTCTTTTTGCTGGGGAAGATTGTGCCCATCTTCCTCTATTTTTTTTTATGTGTGGGATGCCGCCACAGGATGGCTTGATGAGGCTGGCCCCAAAGCCACTTTATTACTTTTTATAATGAACTAAAAGATAACTATTAATGGCTTTCTTGTTCAATCTATAAAATATCTCTTTTCTGCAAAGTGGACTGTGGAGTTCTTAAAAAGTCCTAGGCCAAGAATAAAGCATAAATGTCACTGTGAAAATATATGTAACAGTGTCTAACTCTTTTATCTGAATGTTGTAGAGATTGAATACAGTTAGTTAAAATGCCTCAGATCAAAATTTCCCTATTTTTCTAATTTCTTCAAATTTCCTTATTAAGTATGTGCTAATTTTATCATGAATAAAAATGTAATCAATTTTATTTAAAAAAATAAGAAACTGAGATAACGAAGTTGATGACCTCACAAGTGTGCAGAAAAGAAGGCCATCTATATGATTTAGTTCAGTGGGTGCTCAGCACAATCCCCTTCCCTTAAAAGAGCACCTTTACAGAGTGTTCATTTGGATATTGAGGGCTTCAAGATTTCCAAATAAAATTCAAGACTCTCTGGTGAGTAGGGGCTGGAACATTTCAACAAGATTATCTGATAGCTAGCTGAGAGCAAATCTTTGTGAAAATAGGACAGCAGGTGGATAGCAGAGATGGGGGAATAAATTGGAGAAAAAACAGGAAGGAAGAGGCTAAAGACAAATACATATGTTTTTGTGGCCAGTATAACTATATTTTTATACCATTATTCATTTCCTCTGGCATGGTTTACCTGCCCGATATTAGGTATCAGGTATTAGGTATCAGTACACATAGATACTATTTTCCCTCGGTACTGTATATTCTAATCACTCAACAGTCAGATGAGGGCTGGTATTCACTACCCCAAGAAATACTTTTAAAAATTTTCAGTAATTGATTACTCTAGGAAAATATAGATCTGTTTCTCAAGTTCAGAGACTAGAGAATTTTGAATTTTTATGTAACTTTCTAATAGTAATAACTAAATTTACACACCAAGGGTTCTAAACAGCATTCCTTAGTAATAGTTATAAACAGAACAAAGTTTTACCTCTTGTTTTTCTTGATTTTGATCCACATTAAGTAAAGTTGGTATTTTAGATGAATCTTTCTTCGATTCCCTCTTCAGCACTTTTATCTGTTTAACTTTTCAAAAATATATACAACAAGGACAACTTGTTATTCCTGCCTTGACATTTTACTTTCCTTTTCAAGAGTTTCAAATGGAAATTCTGATATCCATTAAAGTCAGTTCTTCAGCTTATTATAAAGGAACTGAACAAATCATGAGTTGTAATGGTAAAATGTGCCAATCATAAATGATTTGTTTTATAAATTTATAAATAGTCTACAAGGTATTAAAAGAAGACATTTATTTTTTTAAATTCTGAGTATAATTGTTAAGTGGATCAGATAATTCCTCTTGAGCTATGCAAGTACTATATTTTTGCTATTATATTAACTTTTCACAAGGTGTCACTGTTCTTCAAAGAAACATGTTTACTCTAAAAAAATCATTTTAAGAGCTCAATACATATTATAAATCTTAATCTACTAACTCCTTGAATGCCTGAAGTACATATATCATTCCTGCTAGTATATAGGCAAATAATCATGGAGAAATCATAGGAAATTGATTTACTCCAGGTCATATACTGAACTCAACCCAAATTCCTCAAATACTGTTCTAACATTTCAACCATATTGAGCTAATGAAAATGTTACCTTTTTAAGTTTTCTTAACCCTTCTTTAAAATTATCTCCTTCAAGTTTCACCCCTTATTTGACTATGGGAAAAAAATTCTCCATTAGCTGAAAATATCTTTTGAAGCAATTTACTATTTCTACCTAAATCACATTATAAAATATTAGATTACCAAAAAAGGTCTTGTAAAAGATACATCTGGAAATTTGTAAAGCTACGCAACAAATGTGTACCTTCCATTGCTTTCATCTCCTTAGACTGTGTTGTGAAAGGTAATTCTGGGAAATGGAATTCTTTCCTGTCAGACCTGGAAAAATTCAGCTTCCTTTTGTTTCCATTTGCCATTTGGTCACTTTGACCCGTTCGCTCATTAAATACACCCCTCTCCATTCGACTCTAAGCAAACAAATAAACAAGAGCTAATTTAAGAAAGGAGTATAACTACTTATTGAATGACAAGCCTAGACTTGCTAGCCATTTGGATGGTATAACAATGCCTATCTTTGCAAGATTAAGTAGAATAGAATACCGTTAAACATATTAACAGATCAAACTCCAATAAAAGTTTCATAAAGCAAACTTTTTTTTAGTATATTGAATACTCTGAGAATAATAGTCTTGATTAAGAGAACCACAATCTTAACTTTTAATTTTAATCCTATTCATTATACTCTGGCTTTGGATAAATTGCTTCAGTTCATTTTATTAATAATTTATTTTCGTATTTACAAAATGATGTGCTCTGGACACTGGGAAAACCCAAAGGAAAAAAATTAGTTGTCAATCCAGCATTCTGGAAAAACTTTTGTGTTACCTGTTTTTGCTCATTTGATAACAGATGATAAAAACTTCCCTAGGTTAATGAACACTTTTCCACAATGTAATGTGTGGTATCCCACTGTGTGGATATACTCTAATGTGCTTAATCAGCCACTTGCTCTTGGATGGATTTGTGTTTTCAATTTTTCATTATAAATAACACTGTGCTTCAATTTTGAATAAGCTACTTTCCTATGTAAAAAATGAGGGAATGAACTACACATTATTTTTTCTAGTGAAAAGTAAGATGTGTCTATTTGGCAACTGCTTTTAGATTAAAGTAAGATATTAAAAACTTTTCCTTTTTTGTGAGGAGATCAGCCCTGTGCTAACATCTGCCAATCCTCCTCTTTTTTTGCTGAAGAAGACTGGCCCTGAGCTAACATCCGTGTGCATCTTCCTCCACTTTATATGGGACGCTGCCACAGCATGGCTTGCCAAGCAGTGCGTCGGTGCGCGCCTGGGATCCGAACCAGCGGACCCCGTGCCGCCACAGCCAAGCGCATGCACTTAACTGCTTGTACCACCGGGCCGGCCCCTTAAAAACACTTTTTGAAAGTGAAAACCAAAAAGTCTCATAGCTTTTAAAGATGAAAATCTTAACTTTTTCTTCCCCTAAGTCAAACATTAAATACACAAATCAAGTCATAAGAAATTAACTACAATTTTGAAAGCACTAAGGAAATGATGGCCTATTTTCATCTCAGGAAAAAAAAAGGAAACTAAAACCATGTTTTTTAAAAACGTTAGAGGCCCTAAGACAGAGAAAAGGACAAGGGTTTGGAGGATAATGTTGAAAGAGGCCATATTTTAATGACTAGCGTCTTGCCTTACTTGAGTGGGACCTGTATCCTCTGGCCTGCTATTAGACATAACTTGTCCAATAGGCTGTGAAGAAGTACGTCTCTTTTTCGCTCTTTCAGTTAACCTATTATTTAAAAATGAATGAGAAGTTATTAGAACTCCCCAAAAGTGCTTGTTTTACCTTCAGTAATGAATAAATTATACCATGGAAGTCTACTGTTCGAACACTGAGTGCCAAAATGCAATTGTCAGTTCTTAGGTGCCAATTGCTTGTAAAAACAGAGACAGGGAACAACTTGAGAGGTAAAAACAGAGCAGGGAACAACTCACTTATGGCTAACATCAGTGGTGACAACCATGTTGTGGCATTACTCCAGCACACCTACTTGGTCCCTTTGATCTGTTCTGAACCTGGATCTCTTAACTACTGGTTTTCTGAATTTCTGAGCTTGCTGTCCAAGGCTGGTTCACAACACGGTTATTGTAACCACGGTTTTGGGGTCACCTGAAGAACAATTAGGATCTTGCTGTCTGTAGCCTGTTGTACCTTTGGACTGACACAGATATGTCCACTTGCCCACCTCTGCAGACCACTAAGCTTTACAACTTATCACCCAAGCCAGTCTGCTGGGATGAGCTTGGGATATTGAACCGGGTCTCCTTCCACACCTAGATTCATAGTTTCCCTAAATTTAGAACCAGCTCTGACGCCTTGCTAGACACACCCTTGCCATCCATCACACTGCCCTTGATTAACCAGACTCATGGTACCAAACTCTCAATCTTTATCAGTAGCTAAATCTAAAACTCAATGTGCTGTTTTTCTCCCAAAATATTTGACCTTGAAAGGCTATTTGACCATAAAAGATTATTTTCAACACTCCTTTCTCCATTTAGAGAATTTGCTACGATACAGAAATAAAGCTTACTTTGTTATACCAAGGCACATCAATACCAGAACTTAGGTCATATCACCTTTTTTCTCTTTAAATGGGAAGAAATTTTGCTGAGGGTCTTTTTTTTTTTTTTCAAATGAGGTTCTTCCAAAAGGCATTAGTGAAAAATTAAGCATCTATATATCTAAGAAAAGTTCATTTCTTCTATAGCATTCATAAGAAGCACTCACTAATGGCCCATTATATGATTATAATTTCAATAAATCTTCAAATTCAGTTTATATACAGATACTATGAACTTGATTCTTTGAAATACCATTATATAAGAACATTGTATTACTTAGGTCCATTTCCTTCTGTCTTTTTTCTGTTAGAACTCACCTTGAATTGGAGTGGGAGAGATTTGAATTGGGATTTAAAGCCATCAAATTACTGCTAGTTAAATTGATGGGCGGCATCATCACACTACCTGCAGCATGTGGATTGTCTTTCATGCCATTAGAGTTAGTGCTGGGATTGACAGGGTTTGGTGGTTCATTGATTACAGGTTTTGTATCTTGAGACATGGTAAGAGCATTTTCAATTGCATCCTGTTGACAATGTCTACCTTCACACTCCGTCTTTTTCGGTTCTAAGATATCTCCTTTTCCTCCTTTGACTTTAATAACTCTAACTTTGATCTCCTTGGGCTTTTTCTCTTTTTCCATTTCCTGGAATAGATATACCCAAAACCTGAGTCAGAAGAACAGTTATTTTTATCACCACAGTGCTAACTATAATATAGTTATACTGGCTAAAAAGAAAACCAGTTTTTACCTTTCCCAAAACTGAAGTACTTAGCAATGTATTGGTATAAATTGTTTTTCTTTCATTTTTCATAAGTTCATTTGCTTTAGAATTCTCTTTTGTCTTTATGAACGAGTTGACTTTTGCTTCTTGTAGTAATTTAGCTCTCAGCTCTGGTATGAATCTGATAAAACAAGGAATATAAACCAATAATCTCTTTCTTTATGTAGATAGAGTATTTTATCTTTAATAGACCATTTAATCAATTAATTTACATTGCAGCTACACCATAAATAAGTCATCAATAACTAAGAGATGGCACAATATTTAGCTAATACAAATCGCTGCTTGGTAAAGATACATCTTTGAAAAATTTTGCCAAGGGAATTTACTATATAAAACTTTTACAAAATAGACTTATATGAATTAGATTCCTTTTGTGATGCAAACTTTATTCAATAAAAGTATTGCTTTTAATTTTGATTAATACACTATCCTTTTCAAGGAATACTCAGGCCATTTTGTCCTTTTTGTGGTTCTTTAAAGTAACAGTACTTAAAAGATAAACTAACTAGTTTCTGAAATCTTACTCTAGAGAAATATTTTCAGTACAAAAGGTAACAGAATACATAAATATTGAAGGGAGGTTGTTTTGGTTGTAGTTTGACTTTCTTTTTTTAAAACGCTAATTATTTTTGAATAGAAAAGCCATTCACATGGCTCAAAATTCAAAAGGCTATACTGAAAAGTCCCCTTCCCACCCCTGTCCCTGAGTTGCACAGTTCCCCTCCTTGAAGCAGCTGTTGCTATCAATTCGGAGAAGTTTTATTTTATTTTATTTTATTTTGTGAGGAAGATTAGCCCTGAGCTAACATCCATTGCCAATCCTCCTCTTTTTGCTGAGGAAGACTGGCCCTGGGCTAACATGCGGGCCCATTTTCCTCTAATTTATATGGGATGCCGCCACAGCATGGTTTGATAACCAGAGCATATGTCTGCGCCCAGGATCCGAACCCGCGAACCCCAGGCTGCCGAAGCGGAGCACGGGAACTTAACCACTATCCCACCGGGCTGGCCCCCTGGAGAAATTTTAAAACATCACTCCATGAATGAATCCTTCCCTAGTTCAGCCCAGTCTTGCCAGTGCTGTGCAGGGCACATGTCTAGTAAAGGGTAGTGAGAGGAGATGAAGAAAATAACCAGTGTGATTAGTTTGGTTGAATAAGAAAATGTCACACTTCTGCTAAAACTCCCTTGCATTGCAGAAAGTCGACAAAAGAAGAGGCTTCTTACCGAAGGCAAAGGTCCTCCCCAAACATTTTCTGAAGTTATGACAATTGGAACCCAAGAACTTTTACCCCACAATAGTAAAATCCTAATATCTAAATACCCAAGAGAAATCAACCTAGTCAACGTAGAATGGACATGAAGCAACATTTTTATTCATCAACTGGCACTTTTCACCAATGGCACTTTCAATATATCGTCTTCTCATTTTTTGTTATAGATTAAAATTCCTGAAATGCCTGAAGTTCTAGTTACTCTCAAGGATTCTTTTTTCTTTGCCTTTTTCTATTTAGTCTATCTTCAATGGTAGTTCCTGGACTTCTCCATGACTGATCTCAACTCCATCACATTTTTAATTGATGTCCATCTTTCTGACCTCATATCTAAAGTCTAACTGAATGATTTGGTAATTAATGAGAAACCTTTCCTGTTTCTTTCAAAGCCCAAACAGAAAATGGTAGCTTTTTTAGAAGTATGGCTGACTTATGAATCTACATTGTCATTGTATATTATATATACAAGATGGAACACAGAAAGGCTTTAAGAGGCATGGTCCCTGTTTTCAGGGAACTTCCAATTTGGTGGGGAGAACAAGACAACAGGCATTGCAGTAGAGAATAAGTAAAGCAGAGAAAAAAATAATTTTGGAAATGAATGCTAATTATAACATATAAATCTGAGATCCTATCAGAAAAAGACCAGACTATTCTGAGTCAGAGGTCCAAATGGGAATAAAGCTAAAAAGTAATGACTGTTTATTTAATGTTATCTCTGGCCTATGATGACCATTGAAAATGTGTGTAAAGAGCTTAGCGCACTGCCTAGGACATAGTAACTGTGTAATAAATGTTAACCGTAATTATTTTTATTATCAAAATTTTCAACATGACACCTGTAAGTCTACCATATACAGGAACTCAGTAAGTTTTTGTTAAATTGAATTTTTCTGTTGTGTAACGTTAACCTCTGTAGCAATTCTCGTGCTAGTAAAATTACCTAATACAAAATACTAAAAATTCCACACTCACTCAAAATGCTTACTTTTCAATAAATCCATCTCTTGTAAAATACTCATGATGCAAAAGTTCAGTAGACGATATCCGCTCAGCAGGATCAATTTGTAAACAAGCCTAGAAAATGAAAAAAGATTCTAATGTTAAGTAAGCTCTTAACAGGACTCCATAAGGTAAAAATTAAATTTATTTGACAAATGTAGAAGAAATTAAGTACCCAGAGCTAAAAGCATTCTTGAAAAGATTAAATTAGACCTCAGGAATTTCTGACAGTGAATTCTGACCATTTATTTTCCTAAGAAATTTGTACTTGTAAAGCATTATTACAGGTGAAATGTCCTATGATTCTGGCCAAAACAGAAGTCAATCTGTTTCTGCTGGAGTTAGCAAAAATTAACTAGCTCATTTTGATCCTCTTATCAACCCTGTCAGGTGGAAAGTTCATAGATTATCATTTCCACTTTACAGAGCTAGAAGCACAATTAGTGATTTGCCAAAATAGAATTTTAACTCATAGTCTGATTCCTAATCCAGCACTCTTTCTATGTCATAATACAATTTCACAAATATTCAAGCCCCCAAATCTTTCAATAATCCATTATTAGAACACTTCTTTTCTGTTTCCCTACCTTAAGAGTTCTTCAACTAAGTAGAGAAACAACCAAAAAAAAGCCCACAAAATAAAAAACAGACAGTGGAAGGAAGAGTTTTGGATAATAAGTTGCACATAATGAATCTACATATAATTAAATAACTATAATTACAACACATTTCTTTAATCAAAATATTAAAGATAGAATTCAAATAAAAGCTATTTCCTTTATAATTCTCTTTCTTCCTCTAAAAAGAAGGCAAAACATAATAACAATAGGTAACTTTTACTGATGCTTACTGTGTGCCACGTAACACTCTATCTAGCCTTTTCCTATTACTTAATCCCAACAACAACCCTACAAGGTAGGTATTATTATTATCCCCATTGTACAAATGAGAAGACTGAGGCCCAAAGAGGTCAAGTAATTTGTCTAAGATCTCATACATAGAAGAGCTAAAATTAAAATCCAGAAAATCCAAGGTAATTGCATATAATATTACACTTTTATTTCAAAATGTACATGTTTAAATTGATTCACAGAGAAAGTTGTAGAGATCTGCTATACAGCAACATGAATATAGTTAACAATACTGTACATTTTAAAATTTAGTAAGAGGGTAGATTTCATGTTATGTGTTTTTTACCACAATAAAAAATAATGACTCACAAAATGAAATTGAGTCCATTATCTACTTTATGATGTGGGAATACCCAGATCCTTAAAACTGCAACTAGCTAAAAATATGTGCTTATTTTAGAACATAATAGTAATCCATCAATAAAACTTAATAAGAAAAGTGCTAAAAGTTCTGCCTAAGTCATAGCCTATTCGAGGCAGACAAATTAGTCCTTCTGTGAATAATATAATTCCGAAACTTTAAATACATGCCCTAGTTTGGAAAATGTAAAATATGATACTTTGAGAAATAGACTGGCAGTTTCTTTAAAAATTAAACATACACATACCTTAAACCCACCATTCCACTCTTAGATATTTACCCAAGAGAAATAAAAATATACATCTATATAAAGACTTGTACATGAATGATGAATGTTCATGGAAATTTTATATGTAATAGCCAAAAATAGGAAACAACCCAAAACAGGGGAATAGATGAAAAAATTGTAATATATCCATACAATGGATACACAGCAATAAAAAGGAACAAACTACTGATACACGCAAAAACATGAATGAATCTCTCAACCATAAAACTGAGTTAAAGAAGGCAGACACAAAAGAGTACATACTGTGTGATTCCATTTATATGCAATTCTAGAAAACGTAAACTAATCTACAGTGACAGAAACCAAATTGGTGGTTGTTTGGGAACGGGAATGGAGGGAAAGATGGATTGCAAAAGGAAATGAGGACATTTGGGGGATTGATGGAAATGTTAGGTATCTTGATTGTGGTGGTGATTTCACGGGTATATACACCTACCAAAAGTCATCAAATTGTACACTTTAAGTATGTGTAGTTTACTGTATATAAATTAAATCATGATAAAGTTGTTTAGAAAATTTAAATCTAGGAAAAAAATACATGCTCTACCCCAGAAATTAAGATGTATTTTAAAGTTACAATAATCAATCAACATGGTGTCCATACCAGAATAAAGAGAGAAATCAACGAAACAGAAACAGACTCAAGCACATATAAACATTTTATCTGATTAATGTGGCGTTCCAAATCACTGGATTATTCAAGTTGAAAAAAGTATTTACAAAATATAAGACAAAAGACTATTTTACAAATCAAAGTGAAAAAAATACTCTAATTGAAAAATAGGAGAGAGAAGTCAAGATGGCAGCATAGCAGACTCTGAACTCACCTCCTCCTGCAGACACAGCCAATTTACAACTACTCGTGGAAAAATTACCCCTGAGACAGAACTGAAAACTGGATAAGAGGAACTCCTGCAACAAAGGACAATCCTAATTGAGGTGGAAGAGGCAGAAACTCCCTTCTGGAGAGAAAAAACGCGGCCTTCACAAGCCGCCAGTTTCACCGGCCCCTGGGAGCAGCCCACAGGTACGCAGCCCTCCCTGGAGGCGCGGGGCCCTGAGCCAGGGAGCGCCCCTGCTGTAGGCATTTTGTGGATCCAGCACAATCGAGACCAGTGGCATAATATCTGACTTTGCCTGCTACTAAAACATTGGGGAGTACCCCCAGAAAACCTGGTTCACAAAGAAATTAAAACCCTCTCTTAAAGGGCCCGCTCACAAACTCTCCCATTTCAGAAAGCATCCTAAAATCACCAGAGAGAAAGGTGAATAGTGCTTTGGTGAAAAGAGACTCACCTGATAGGCCCTGAGTGCATCTCGTAGAGGTGAGACCTCTCCAGGGACTGGGACATTGGCGGCGGCCATTGTTGTGGCCTGGTGTGGGCGTGCTGACACAGACGCCATTGGAGTTCTCCCTGGGGCCTGCTAGCCCAGGTCTGCCCCACCCACTAGAGCACCGATTTAATCCAGCTCAGCCAGGCAGGCAGCCCACCCTAGAGACTGGCCCCACCCAACAACAAGACCTCAGGCAACATGTGGGCCTGCATAGATTGGTGACTGGATTCTCTGCATCCTGGCAACGGAGCGACTTCAGTGGGGCAGGGCATGCACAAGGAGCGGGTGGAGAGTGTGGGGCTGTGGTGGAGTGTGTGGGGCTCCCGCCGTGGAGAGACTGGGTCCGCTTCGGGAGGT